GTGTGTGTGTGTGTGTGTGTGTGTATTTCAAGACATCTATGTTCGGCACTTTTAATGTTCCAAAATTATTTATTGTTGAAGTTTCTATTATCTTCGGTTCTTTTGCACCTTCACTTCAAACATACGCATAAAGCTAAGTTCCTTAGTCTTACTTGTACTGTTCAGATCTTTGGTGAGGCAGTACTTCCATTTCAGTGGCTATAGTTGATGGAGGAGTTCTTCGCCAATTCCTAAACGCTGCAACAAACACCCTACCGATCCTGACAAAAGGACCTTTCTCATTGTGTGTAATGCTAAACCTATAAGTTGTAGTTCCAAGCAAGAAGACGACAAATGCAATAACCATTACAATACAAGGAATCCCAAATCCCAGTGCCCAACTCAGATTGTCTTGTATGTAGCTCACAACCGCAATTGCTACCAAGGCACCGGCACATACACCAAAATACCACCAGTTGAAGAAGGAGCTTTTCGCTTTGCATTCTTCTGGATTTTCACCATCAAACTGATCGGCCCCAAAAGCCTGAGTGCATGGCTTGTGTGCACCTTGAGCAAATGCTACTAGATATAGAGAAAAGAAGAATAATATTACTTGGAACAAAGGAGGAGAACATGAAGTGATATCGTTGGTTTGGCATTCAGAACCACTCGGAGATGGAAGAACAGCTGATAGAGTCAACAAACCTAGTCCCTGACATTGATCCAAATTTAAGCCAAGAGTTGAATAGAAATCCAATATACCACTGTGCATAATAGGAGCATTTCTCAGTCGTTCTCCTTCAAAAGAAAAATGAGTAAAATTATGCTTTACATATCTTTTATGCGTATACTTTTATTTTTTCAATCGGAAGCTTTCCCAAAATGTTAAGATGAGTTTATTGGTCAAATGTCTTTTTTGAATCTACAAGTCCACTTTGAACCTAAACCTGCCTGCTGAAAGATAGTAAGAACGTATGGAAAACAAAGCTTAAGCCTTTGAGAAACTATTGGTAAAACGTGAAATTTCCAGTTTAACATTTTCTTTTCTC